GGACACAGAAACACCCAACGGGGACACAGAAACCCCCAGTTGGACACAGAAACAACCTGTCGCCCCTGGACACTGCTGTGTACCATCCTGACCATCTCGGAAAGCTCTGAAAAGAGCAATGTGACATCACTCGAGGGCGCAGACATTACCTTCGCAATCGAAGCCACCCTGACCCTGACCAAAGCGGCCAAGGACTGCTGCATGTCTTGTGCGTTGCTAGATGGGGGGGCGATTTAGGGAGTGGGTCGGGGCGCAGGGAGAAACGTGCACCTGTCGTGCCCCGTTTCGGCCCCAGTGCGCCCTTCCCGGCCCCCATCAGAGCACCAAAGGTGCCCCTTCCTTCGCCCCCCCCGTCCCACTTATCGCCCCTCCCATTGCGTAACGCCCGAATGTCTTCGCCCCCGTTCTCTCCGTCCCCATGCCGACCGCAGCGGCAAAGTATCTGATCCCGCGCGGCGCCCCAGGACCCAGCCGCGGCCCTGGCCAGCTCGGCTGCGCGTAAGAGCGACCAGTGCCATGTCATGGAGCCCACACACAGAATTACGCGCCTAAACACGTGCACGAATGCGGCCCCCCCAATCCGCGAGGCCAGCCTCGTGTTACGAACGCTCGCGCAATCCATGCTTTCGAAGACCATGACATTCGCGTACACGTGCGTCTTCCTTGCGCTCCTGACCTTACGTGCGCGGCTTTCGGAGGGCATGGGGGGCCAAGCCCGAGCGAGCAAGCCGCGGCTATCGCATAGCATTCAGCGGTCGGTGGACCTCAGCGGGCTGGAACCACAGGTCACTCCAACGAAGGTGGAGGGAAGGAAAACGATAACTATGATCAAGGCTGAACGCGGAAACGTTTGTACCGATCTTGGTTACGTACTGTCCAACTTGGCCACCGTCGATTCCTGGATCATCCTCGCGAATCGGCGACGGCCAGCCTGGATCATGACCAAGATCAGCGTCGACATGACCCCGCGACATCTTGCTCATGGTCAGCATGTTTGAATCCGTTTTTATTGTTGTCCCAACCAGCCTGTGGTGTTGGGTCCTCGTTTTGAAGAAACGGTCCCCGCATTCTCCTTCCTTCCTTCCTTCCTCCTCCCCCTCCATCATCATCGTCATCACCCGTTTCAGCACACCCCTCACACGTTTAGTGGCACCATAGGGAACTCAAGGTCCACACGCCAGCGTTCTCATGCGCCCGCCGCACTCATTTCGGCACACTCCTCACACGGTTCGTGGCCCCACAGGATGCTCCCCCGAAGGCCCCATGGGCTGCGTTCGCATGCGCCCGCCGCACTCATGTCAGCACACCCCTCACACGTTTAGTGGCACAATATGGGGGGTCCACTGACGGCTCCAGTGGCTGCGTTCACATGCGCCCGCCGCACCCATTTCGGCACACCCCTCTCACGTTTCGTCGCCTCGCAGGGAGCTCCCCCGAAGGCCCCATGGGCTGCGTGCGCATGCGCCCGCCGCACTCATTTCGGCACACCCTCACACGGTTCGTGGCCTTGTAGGGAGCTCCACCGAAGGCCCCAGTGGCTGCGTTCGCATGCGCCCGCCGCACCCACTTCGGCACACTGCTCACACGTTCCGTGGCCTCAGAAGGAAGCTCCACCGGAGGCCCTGGTGGCTGCGTTCGCATGCGCCCGCCGTGCCTATCTTAGCGCACCCTGACATGTTTCCTGGCCCAAGATGGACTCACAACTGCATGTGCTTGGGTCCTTCGCCAAGCTACTTTCGGAGATGACCCAGGCTGTCCACCAGGGGGTGGGGGGGAGGTGCTGGCCGATAACCTGCACTTTTCGCTTGGGGCTAACCCTCGCGTGCCCGCGCGCATCCATACTGCGTACCCTCTCCGGACCTGCGCAACCAACAGAAGTCAATCTATCCGGGGTGGGGCGGGCAGGCCCGACGATCCGGGATGTCACCGGACCCTGAAAAAACGGTGTCCTTCTTCCCCCGAGAGGTCTCGCTCTTGCGTCTGGCCGATCAGCGGAGGGAGGGGAGGGGAAGGGGTGTCGGTTCCGCTTGGAGCCCCCCAAACCTGGGGCAGCCAGAGCGGATCGACTGACACATGTCCCAGACATCTTCCGACATCGTTTTCTCGACCCACGCCCCCAATGCTCCCAACCGCTTCCTCGGGGGTGTTTTTTTGCGCCCTGGATCCGTTCTTGGTGGCCCCATGGGGCCCGCCGCCGAAATCGAGGGAACACGCCCAGCCTGGAAAATCACATCGTCGGAGATCTGGATCAGCGCTCCCCCCAAACCCCGAGGGTCGTGATGTTCTCGCAACGTGGACCCCCGAAGTCTCGACCCATTTGGGACCTTTTGTTCAATCCCGAATCGCTTGTGTTACTATCTCTGAGCCCGTTAAGGGCCCCCCGGAGACTCCAAAAGCGCAGGAACAGCTCTGCATTGAATAGTTCCATTTGTTGCAGGTCTGGACACCCACTCGGAAGTTCTTCTGGCCGAGCGCCATTGGCCCGCGCCTCCGCCTCAACGTCCAGCCTCGAGAGTCCCGCGCCAACGGCCCGGGCCGGTAGTGGCCCCTGGAGGCCGAAAATGCCCGAGAACCTCCCGTCGCAATTCTTCTCACGACTCGATGGCGAGAGCATGCTGCTACGCATGAGAGGAATGCAAAGGAGACGTGTAAGTGATGAGGCTACACAGCCTCTTGGGGGACCTCGCTATCCCACCCCGTTGGTAGAATGGGACGACGGGTCGCCACCCCCAGCGCTGCGCACATGTCACATACACTGCGCAGGGTTCGTGGGGACTCGGGCTGCACTCCATGAAGAGGCCCCCCCGTCCCACCCTTGGGAAGTCAAGAGGGGCATGTCTTGCCATCGCTCGGACGTCCATGTTCCGTGCATGTTTCGGTGGCGACGAGGGCCTCCCAGGAGGAAGGCGCCACAGGACGAAGACGAGGCAGAGAGGCACGCTGGCAGCGCTGAATACCTCCTCCACCCTGAGGCCCTCCCTTCCGACGCGAAGGCCCCGTCGCCGGGGCCCGGGCCGCGGCCCCGCGCGGGGGGCCCTGCCGTCTGGCCCCTCCCCCCCCTGAGCACTTTCTCACTTTCTTAGGGTGGAGGGCTCAGGCTGAAATCCATATGGGTTTGTGCGCCCTGAAAATCAATCCGTCTTGTGATTCACTGTCTGCAGATTCAACCTCGAAAATCAAGTTTCACCCTTTGGCCCTCCACCCAAAGAAAATGCTCGGCCCCCCCCCAAGCCTCGGCCTCGGGGGACTGCGAGGACGAGGCGTCCTCGCTGGTGGAGCTGGGCGACGCGCGGGGGGGGGCTGATGGGCCTGCTTCCCACCACCGTCACCATAAGCTGGAGAGGGGGTCTTCCTCCTCCTCCTGCTCCTCCTCCTCCTCCTCCTGCTCCTCCTCCTCCTCCTCCTGCTCCTCCTCCTCCTCCTCCTCCTCCTCCTCCTCCTCCACCCCCTCCTCCTCCTCCTGCTCCTCCTCCTCCTCCTCCTTCTCCTCCTCCTCCTCCTCCCCCTCCTCCTCCTCCTCCTCCTCCCTCCTCCTCCTCCTCCTTCTCCTCCTCCTCCTCTCCTCCTCCCTCCTCCTCCTCCTCCTCCTCCCTCTCTCCCTCCCTCCTCCCCCTCCTCCTCCTCCTCCCTCCTCCTCCTCCTCCTCCTCCTCCTCCTCCTCCTCCAACTCCTCCTCGCCGCTGCTGTCCCTCGGAAGCTCTGCGGCGTTGCCTTTGTTTTCTCTCACAAGGCGCTGTCGCCCAGTGCTGGGCCCTGGGGCCATCACAGATCGATCCCGACTGGAAGTTGCTGCAGAAACCTCGGGTCTGGGGCTCCGGTGGTGATCTCTGCTCGAGCTTGCAGCTTTCTTCGTGACGGCGGATCTCAGGGGAGGACGGCGGGAACGAGGTTGGCGAGGACGGGAGCGAGGACGGGAGCGAGGACGGGAGCGAGGACGAGCACGAGAAGGACGAGCACGACGAAAGCGAGCACGGCGAGGACGAGGGCGAGGGCGAGGGGGGGGGCTGGGGCCAGGGGGCAAGCTCGCTTGGAGTTTTGCCCACACGTGTTGTGCCAACGATCGCACATTTCCCAAGCCGTCCTGCACACTGCCGTGGACAAGTTGCGGCGCATAACTAGGGCGTGCAAACCATTCGCCTTTGATGGTGGCAGATGCTTCATAAATTTGACATGGTGCGGCTTGCCACACAAATGGCACGCACGCCATCCAATGACCCACCGCCAACATATCTCCGAATATGTGGAGACCCGCGCTCCTGTCTTCTCTGTCCTCTACCCGTCTCCCGTCTTCCCACATCCCTCCATCCCTTCCCTCTCGCCCTCTCTCCCCCCTGTCCGTCTCCCTCGCCGTCTCCCTCCCCTCTCCTCAGGCACGAACTGGCCATAGGCAAGACAAGGATCGCCCATAGGCAATACCAGGCTACCAGAAGTGATCCCAAGGTGCCCCAAATTTTCCATGCGATTGTGAACCCCCCAGGGCCCTCTGGGTCTCGTGAGGACAAGGGGCAAATTCACTTTCTATGGCTTGGGGGTCTGTGCGATTACAGCATGCAGCTTCCTATCAACTTATCACATACGCATGCGCCCACATGCGCATGCGCATACACACAACTAGATATGCAAACACCAACACATAAAGCATACATGCACGTTCCAATGGAGCGGGATAGGCACTCATCACATCCGTATGATTTATACATATCTTGATTGGAATCCAAAGAGGTCTCTGGTAATTATGACACAGGCCTCGGCCCAGGGGCTTCTTGTCGCCTTCGAATCTGATTCAAACAGGACTTGGATAGTAACGGCGCAGGCATCAAATCCAGATTATTCCAATTGGACTCGAATTGTATTCGACTACGAGTTTGCCTGGCCCCAGGCTGCAGAACATCGCAATACGATCCCAATTCGGTTATAAGATGATTAGTTTGGAAATTGGCGAGGCCCCAGCAGTCTGTGGATCCCAATCGGATTAGAAGGTGTTTCTACTTCACACGTATTCAAAGATGTGCTAGGTCGTAGCCTTTGTATGCACCAACCAACATCTGTTTATGGCAAGCTCCAAGTTCCCTGCTTCTTATACTGGGCACTCTGTTATACTGGGTTACAAATGAAAGAGCTGGGCCAGGTAATTGCGACTCACTATTTATCAAAATCTGATGTGATTCGACAAGCCTCACCCTTCGTGACATGCCAAAAAGATTGCCAGTACATTCCGAACGGCATGAGAAGACAGACCCCAGCCTTCACTGCAAAAACCATCACACCATCGTATGGCAATGAGCGAGTAGGCCCTGGGTCCTCACTGAGCCTCAGAAAAAACGTGTTCGATTGGAACGGAACAGACCCACGACCATGGGGGCTCTTGGTGAAGTCGGATCGTATTCAGAATGATGGCAATGAGCCTGTACGCCCTTAGGCCCTCACCAAGCCTGAGAACAAATGTTTGATAGGAATGGAACGACCCACGACCAGGGGGCTCGTGGTGAAGTCGGATCGTATTCAAAATGGAGTGGGTCCAGAGGATTCGGGAAAGGGCTTGGATGGCTTTGAGCAAAGCTCTACTATGGTCGCAATAGCGACTGGGCAGACCCGAGATCCAGAGGATCCCTACCGGATTGCAGTGCGATGTCACAGGATTTCGTTCTGAATGGGGAGAGCTCCAGATCCGAAGGATTCCTATGGCATTCGGATGCGATGCGAACGAGACGTCATAAGAAAATCAAAGCGTACATCACATCCGAAGGATTTAATGTGGCTAGGGAATGTTGAGTGAGATCTCAATGGTAACCGCATATCCCAAACCAAGACGGTCCCACTAGGACTTGAATAGGATCTTGACGGGATTTAGTGAGGAATCGAGCAGACCCCATATCCGAGAGATTCCTCTTGCATTCGAGTATAATAAAAATAGGATCCGGATCGGAAAGGAGCAGACAGCACATCCAGATGATTCCCTTCTGATGCCTCCGTTCCTCAGTTTGCAACTGTTGGAGGGAGAGAGAGAGAGAGAGAGAGAGAGAGGAGAGATGAAAGGTGGGATTGCGCTCTGTAGAGGAGGACAGCTCCGAAGCCTCTGGACGCCCTCGTCCTGCGTGTAGACCGAGGGCCCCAGGGGTCAGAAACATAAAGGACAACAAAATAAACAATCAAGAAACAGACAGCAAAGTACAACAGCTGGAACTCTCTGCAATTCCGAAAATATTCAATCAGAATACACTTGAATGTCAGTGTCTTGTGGTTGCGCGTTTTAGGGGACGTAGAGATTCAACGAAGTACACAACCAAAGTATGACTGGATTTCGTTGTATCCTGATTGAAGACTTGCGGGCTCGCAGAGGAGTGTCAACTCGTTTAGTTTGTGTTACTGCAATGCGTTTTGATATTGTTGTTGGCTCCGGGTCTCCGATCTCCCCGTCTGGGCCGAGGGCCCAAGGGGCCTGGAGCCAAAACAACAAACAGCGCATTACACAACAAGCACAAACAACACAAGTGCATTATGATTGTAGATTGCTGGCGCCGCAGACAGTTCGAACCTATACCACAATAACACAACTCGTTCCAACTATGCTCTGATTCTAGATAAGCCAAATCGCGAGAAATCTCCACTCGGTTTGTGTTTTGTGTGTGTTGTTCTTGCTTGTCCGTGTTGATACACACATATCTATATATGCCTATTGGGATGAGGCCCCCCTTGGGCCCTTGGCCATCTTGCAAACACCTAAAGAGAGAGAGAGAGAGAGAGAGAGAGAGAGAGAGAGAGAGAGAGGGAGGGAGAGAGAGAGAGAGAGAGAGAGACACACACATACACACAGGAGACACAGAGACATAGAGAGGGATACCAAGCGAGAGAGGCAGAGAGAGAGAGAGAGAGAGAGAAAGAGAGAGAGAGAGAGAGAGCGACAGAGAAAGGGGGACAGACAGGGAAACACAAAGAGAGAACGAACGCGACAAGAAGAAGAACGAAGTCCAGCCCAGTAGAATGATTGTTCTCCCTTTCGCCTCGTGAGGGGTGCTCTGAATGCCATCTGGGTGACCTCGGTGAAGGGCCACTTCTGGCAAGACGCGACCATCCGCTGGATGCCTGCGGCTCTGGGGTGAAACATCTGCCCCCAGACCTCCAGAAGAGGAATGCCTCCAGGGGAACCCAGCAGTCGCGAAGATTAGCCCAACGGATGCCCAGCACTTCCCAATCACGGTTCGGTGACATCCTGGTGGCAGCAGGCCCTGAACACAATTACACAGTTACACCAGGGGGCCAAAATGGGGGCCACGATGTGGGGGGGCAACGATGGGGGGCCACGATGGGTCACCGATTTCGGGAGGCCCCGGCTCCCTCATCGGGCGCCAGAGGAAACAAGTAGAACCCGTACGGGTGGGGGATGGGAAGATAGTGTGCAGCATCGACCTCCGAAAACCACGCTGTGCCCAACAAATTGAAGATCCGAGCGTTTTCAATGGCATGTGAGGGACAGGGTACAAGTCGGTTCGGGGGGGATAGCGTCCCACGCTTCGCTTCAAGATTGTTGCCTGACTGAACGGCCGCCCGCGGGCTTGGCAACGAGGATTAGCAATCACGTTACGGCCAGAGGGCTAATGTTGGACCTTGCCTCCCTGGGGGCTGCTAACTGCGCAGTTGTCGCCACTTTCGTGGGCTCCTGGGACGCCCAGCGGAGAGCGGTCTTACAGAGATCCAAACTAGACCTCCTCTCCCTGCGGGCTGCCAACTCCCGAACTTTCGCCATTTTCGCGGGCTCCAGGGGCGACCAGCGGAGAGCGGCCTTATAGAGACTCTTTGTGAGCTCCTGGGCCGGCGGCGCCAAATCGCACGCCATCTTCCCATGCAGACGAGCTGTTCCAAGGACCATCGAAACGGCGATTCGAAAAAGAAGCCGACCCAAGACTCCCGACGTCGTGATTCTTTCACAATGTTGACCCCCCAACGGTCTCGACCCCTTCCCCGGGTCCGGTTTTTCATCCCGAGCTGTTTTTTGACGGCCACGGGGCCTGTTAAGGCCCCACGTGAGCCGAACATTGTCGATAGCATCTGTCGAGATTTTCCCCGCGACTCGAAATCCCGTCAACATATGTCCCCAGACCCCTCGGGGGGGTCCCGGCCAGTCTTTCGAGGCGGATCCAGCAGTGGCGCTGAGAAGCCTGAAGGAGGCTCAAAAAGTACGACACCCTCCAGGGAAGGCCCCCCCCCCGTCAAGATTTGTTTAAGACTCGAGGAGAAGGGGTCTGCGGCTTAGTAGTTCTCGGAAACGGCAAAGCATTTTTGAACACATTCCAGAAATCTTGATGTTGATAATTCCAACGGTCGAAAAATGGTTCGCCGAAACAACAAACAAAAAACGGCTCTGGGATCGAAGCTGGAGCCAGATCCAGGAAATAAAACGGCGAGGGAACTGTAAACCAAAATGGCACCAGAACCGGGAACAGAAACGACAACACGATCACGGAACACGGAGCGGCTTTGCCGTTCCCAGGAGCCACTGATCGGTGGTTGCGAAAGGTGCCCCTGGCCCAGAAGGTGCCCCCAGCGTTTCGCTCCATGCTGGAACCCCGCCCTGTGGGCACCGTGAGGGGCTCCCTGGAGGCCGTGGGAGCCTCCTTGGGAATCCTGGGGGCACCTTGCGCCAAAAGCACATCTGCACCACCACCCGAGCTACAGTCAAAAACCCGAATAAGGACGCGCGGTGAGGACGCAAGACCCTTGGAAGCCGAAGTTGGGATTTTTGGGGCGGCGGACGACGAACACCTCAAGGACGCAAGAGCAAGGAAAAGCAAGGACGCAAGGGTACCCCGAGCAAAGACGCGCGTCCTTATTAGGGTTTTTGACTGTAAGGTCTGGGACCAGCTCTCCCCCGGCACGCTCTGCTCTGGACCGACCGGCGAGGGCCAGGCCGACCCAGGCCGACCCAGGCCGACCGGCGAGGCCGCGACCCAGGCCGACCGGCGAGGGCAGGGGCGGCGGCGCGCCCGCTGCTCGCGGAGGCGGTGGTGCTGGCGGCGCTGGAGGCGGCCGCGCCTGCCCGGCCGCTGCTCCGCGCCGAGAGATCGGGTGCGCGCAAGGAGCGGCCCTGGGCTGCAGGAGCGGCGAAGACCGCCGCAGAACGCACCGCGGGAAGTACCCAAAGTTACGCGTGCGTTCGCACCTGGGCAAAGATTCACACACCCGAACACACACACACACACACACACACACACACACACACACACACGCACACACACACACACACCCGCGCGCGCACACACACACGCACACACACGCACACACACACACACGCACACACGCACACACACACACACGCACACCCGCACACACACACCCGCACACGCACACACACACACACGCACACACACGCACACACACACGCACACACACACACGCACACACACAC